ATTGTAATTCAGTGATATCTCTACCTTTTAATTATGTCACTGTTGCTAACCTTGAATAGCACAATTCCTGATTATAGATTGCTGATGTTAATATACGCAATATTATATGCCTCGTGATTCAGCACATAAAATATTTAATCGTGTGCGTTGCCAAACAAAACTAATTACTTCGATTACTCGACATATTTGAATATCAAAGATTTCATTTAATGCATAAAATAAATTTTTATTTTTGAATATTGAGCATTATCGGATATCTGGGTATGAAATTTTAAGAGACATTTACAAGAGTAATAAACAGTTTCCCTACTTTTGAGTTATCTGAAAGTATGAGTGGAAAATAATTATATTATTATCTATCTTGTGTTAATATCATTCGTTTACTTAATATTTTTCTTAAGTAATTTCATATATTTATAAAGTTGGAACATCAGATAACGTTACAATACTAGAATCATAATTGTTAACATTAATTAATTTAATAAATTCTTTTGTCTTATTCTGTTATTTATAGATTAATTATTTCTCTACAATTTTAAGAAAATTTGCATTTCGAAAACAATCTGACATTTTGTTGTACTATATACATTCTATTAGGCAATATGTCAAAATAGTGCATAAACAAAAGAGATTTAATAAAGAAACAATATTATTACACCACGATGACCTAATTAATATTAATTTGGTGGCAAAAGAATAGGTGTATGTTACACACCAATTATGTTCATTTTATTTGCTTTTAAATTTTTGCTATAGAGCTATTTGCTCCCTTTTAAACTAATAGGCCTTGAAATGTGAATTAAGTCTCTAAAGCCACTGGTTTTAGAGATAAAGCATGTTGAAGGTTAAAAATATCACATTTATTCAAATATATCTGCTTGATCACGACGTAATAGAAAACAATAGAATATTCTTTAGATTTTACGCAGAACGGATTCTATTAACTTTGTATTAATTTTCAAATGGTAATAACGAATTATAATAACTAAAATATTGTGAGGCCACATTATCTTATACAGGGTATTTTTTCTGATTTTTCAAAAGGAACACCCTGCTGTGCTGTCCCTGATACAATGTAATTAAAAGAATAGTTACTTGATCAGCAATTTAATATTTCCAAAAAAAAAAACGAAACAAATTGTTAAGTGTGGGTCACATGAACAAAAGTAATTAAAAGTATCATTAATTAAAAGCAAATTCAACACAATTTCAACAGTTAAGTTAATTCTTCAAAAGAGCATGTAGCTCCATAAACAAAGGTTGAATATTTCGAAAAGTATTTTTAATTTTGTTATAAATATTTAAATTAGTTATTTCTAATTAGTTACTGATTTATCTATTCAATTATTTTTCACATTAGTCGTGTTTAATAAAGTGTTCCAATTCCCCGAATTATAACACTATTAATTAAATTATTATTATTATAAAAGTTTATTTAATAGAAGGAGAATTATCTTCAAAATTAAAGAGCATAAATATTTAAATGTCTTAATAAAACTTAAAGAAAATAAAACTATCAAATACAAAGTGTTCTATACAAAAAATTAGAAAAAATATCATTCAAAATTTGTAAAGTTGGCATGTCGTTAGAAAATACCCTGTATTAGGTAGTGAGTTATTGAATAATCTTTGTCTTGCATACTATCGAATACTTGGATTCTAACTGCTACCATTTGAAAATTATTACAAATTTTAACTGGGTTTGTTTTCCGTAAAATTTAAGAAATCTTCTAAATAATTTGATAACAGGGTAACCAAATGTAAAATTATTTTCATCATCATATGCAGAACCTTATAGCGAATTTAAATATGTAACAACATATGGAATGTCCCGTTTGATTCATATGTTCATACATCACCCTACCTATATATTTGGAAGTAATTTTAAAACACCACTTTTATTTTAACGTCTCGAATAATAAAATAAATAATAAAACTATTATTATATAATTATACAGGGTGTTACGAAATTCGCAGACACGGACTGTGGAATCATATTAAGCTAGATAAAGCGATAAAAAAATGTCTCTATGATTTTTCAATCAGAATATTTTTTGAGACATAGCAGTATTTCGTAACACCCTGTATTTCGAATAATAAACGAGTTACTCTACTTTGCCACGCTAATGGATCACCGTGTCAATCACACTGTCATTAAGAACCTCAGAAATCGGAAGGCACACAGTATTTTGAAAATTTGATAAATGTACATCTTAATATTTTTTATAAGAAAAATGTATGTATTCGAAAAACGATCAATTTTCGGGTTTAAATTCCAAAAAAATTTATAACATGTAAATTAATAATATCTCCAACAGGTTACGTTGTAATTAAATCTGTATTTTGAACAAACAGTTCCTATACATTTTTTTAAATTGCTTGTTATAGTTATTTTAGATTTGACTGGAAAACTTTTTTTTTAAATAATTATTCGAAAATAACTTATTTTTTGCAAGATCGAATGAAAGACATTGTTTTTTTACACATTGAATATACTTATCGACATAACAAATTACCTGCTATCGAAATAAATGAAATAGACTCCTGTTTGGAAACCGATATTAAAAAAACGTAGGGGCATAAAATTTTGAAATTTGGACCATATATAGCCTCACTATTATTCTGTTGTGTGCTAAAATTTCAGTTAGTTTCGTTATTCCACTTTTTAGTTATTAATGAAAATGTTGAAAAAATCTCGGTTTTCTGCCTACAAAATTGATACCTCTCACTTTAACTGGTCGTAAATTTTTGTTAATTGATAAAAAAATTTCAAATTTTTACTGACGATAGATCGAACTATTGTCTCTTGTCTGTTTTGCTTAAAAATGAACAAAAAGAAGAGCTTTTGAGACAAATGACCTGCACAGTACTAGACAATAGTTCGACTTATCGTCAGTAAAAATTTGGGATTTTTTTATGAATTAACAAAAAAAATACGACCAGTTAAAGTAAAAGGTATCAATTTTGTAGTGAGAAAACCGTGATCTTTTCAACATTTTCATTAATAACTAAAAAATGGGATAACGAAATTAACTAAAAATTTTAGCACACAATAGAATAATAGTGTGGCTATATAGGTCCAAATTTCACATTTTTTTGCCCATACGTTTTCTTAACATCGGTTTCCAAACTTAGGGGCTTATTTCATTTATTTCGATAGTAGTAGTGTCGAAATTCTGGGATTCTTAATGGCAGTGCTCCCAGCATCTCTGCCACTGATTATTTGTAAGCAGTGATTTTTGCCTTGAATTAGATACATCAATCTATATCAAACATCTTCAAAAATACTTGAATTCAGGTGATATTTTTCATACCTTCTATCCAAAAAACTACTGGTTCTAGATACCTCGTTCATTTCAGGTATTTTTGTGTAGAATAATCCAAGAAACAACCTGTGGACGTTATAACCTTTTTCTCCAAAATTGAACAATAATTCCACCATTTCATTTTTTCCGACCATTACTGAGACTATAAAGATGAAAAAAGTGTCCAATAATATTCAAATTAGATCTCAACTGGAACTAAAGCAAGTAGATTTAGAGACTTCAACGTGTGACTTGTACGTATTTTTAACAAAATTGTTATCAGTTAATTACATAATGACATGCACAATAGATATGTGTAGGTATTTGTTTAAAACATATTTTAACGTTATCTCGGATGTAAACTGTTTAAAATTTAAATAAATATGCGAAAATAAAAGCCACTTAGATTTTTATTTGCGATGGTATAAAATTGCTTGCTACTCGTAAAGGAAATACCAATCATTGTTTTGTAAATGAAGCAATTAATGTAAACTTATGAATTTAAATTGCCGTCATTACTTTGTCATTATTTTTATAAAAATAATTATACAAATAATTACAGTTCCCTATAAACAGTTATATTTCCAGCGGTTTTTTACACCTAAATACAGGTCGATCTATTTATCTATCTCGGATTGTTTTGACTTAAGGAACTTTTGTTGCAATCAGGTACTGTATATTCTCGGTAACCCTCGTATTCTGAAAACGTGGTTTTAGTTTTACCGAAACCTGTTCTTCAATAAAGAAGGGTTATGTAATAAATATTACGAAGATATTAATAAAGTGCTTAAGAAACTTCAAAAAAATATGGCCAACGGTCAAGATAACCTGATTGTTATAAGAAAAAATATAAATATAAAAAGTAATATATATTTAAAGCTGTTGTAATTATAAATATAAATAACCAACATTCGGTAAATATAGTAGTAGTAGTACCTAAAATTCAATGACCTCACGAAAACTTGTTATAAGTATTATAAGAAACTTGTAGTGATCTCATTTACAGCAATTTGCGCAGTCTTCAAGGTTTTCAATCATTGTAATGGCTTTACAGTTATTAGCCTTTACAAGGTCATGGATGATGTTGATGATGGATATTTAAACAGTTAAAGTTAATTGAAATGCAACAATTATCGATTTTTTGCATAGTGTGAGATATAGTCGTCGCGTATATTTTTTTTATTCTCTGGCATCCATCATTTATTGTAAGTTATGTAAAATATCCAGATTTGACTTAGACTTTTATTTCAGTTTTGTGGTATAAAATTTTGCACTGATATCTAAAGTTTCAAATTCAAGGTTAACACAGTATTTGATAAACTTCTGGATTAACTTACATACATATCAAGTCTGAAATAGAAATGTAAATTTCCTATTTTAACAGTCGATCTGTTCAAAATCAAATAAATAAACAAATAAAAATTGTTTGTTTCTCTCTGTCACAGAGGTCTTTAAAATGAAATGCTTTATATCATGAGGATCATTATTTAGAAAATAATGAGTGTTCTAAAGTGGATGGATGCGTAAAGTCAACACTTAAAATCTTGCTGTGTAATTAAACAAACATTTTTAATAAAAATGTGTCACGGACAAGATATCACATATTTACTAAATAGTTTTCAACAGATGTGTAAAGTCTCTTTCTTCTTTCCATTGATGTGCGACGGTGTTAATTATTTTTCTTCTTTATTTCAGAGCTGAGAAGGCACGCTGCCCCTCTACCGAAAGAATTTAATTGCCGTATAACAGGCAGGCTGAAACTACACATTAAAATCATCAAAGGGGAAACCCACAGGCTATCTGTAACTACTTCTAATGGTGTTCTTCCAGGGATCATAATGTTTTTATGTATTCCACAGACTGAAGACTGAAATTATACACGCCTGCTATAAAACTCAGCAAAGCGAACGCCGAACTAATTCAGATATAAAGTGGAAGTTAAAATAAACAAACCTCGATTATCATAGTCTGCGCTGCTGTGCCAACACAAAAAAACTGTGAAGTGCGTGTGTGTATATGTGCTGTAGTAATTAGCGAAGTCAATGGTGGCTGCTGATATTTTACGTTCAAAGCACAGCCATGGATATCACCAAAGAAAACGTCAACCCCAATCCAAGGGATACTGCCAGTCCCCTATCAGTTATATTCTTCACGTAAGTAACAAAGTTGCATAAGTTTTCGTATGATTTAATTTTCCGAATAGCATTCGACAGCATGCTATCGACACTCTACGAGTGTGTGGACGGTTATAATTAGAATATGTATCTTTACTTTGCGCTGCATACCGCGAAGTGCTATGTGAATGATATGAACCATTCGCGTTTTAAAGTTTGCTACTGTTTATGCTTCAAAATCCTCACCAGTAAACTTACATGAACTGCACATGCAGGCAGGTCATAATTAAAAGTAAAAAATTTAGGTGAAGCTTACTGTGGTTAACACAAAGCAATTAATCGAATATAACTCAATAACCAAAATACTTCCTTAAACAAATACAGATGTAATTTCAACGGGTGTATATTTAGCAAAATAGAGAATTTTATTTGGCAGGGAATACTCTAATCATTAAAGTCTGATGACTCCAGCGAAATATTGAAATACATTCCCTATATTAAATTTCATTAAAACACCTTAAAAACATAGTAATAATTATACTAACGATAAATAGTATCTACCAATTAAGCCTCTGTGGATCCTCATCTTGTAACACAAATCATTTTTGAACTAGACTCTGACATTTCTTTATTAAAGGAAAATTAAGCAATTCGTGATTTAGACATAACAATTTAGTTCGCAGAGAAAAAAAAATCATTAGCTAAAAACTTTATTTCTCTTCTAGTGGATACAAAGTAATATTTTGTGTCAGTAGGCATTGAGCAGTAATGATGAATAGATATATTTTATAGGTTATATCTCACCCATACTCAAAATCTGTCGGTAGATAGACACCCAAATAGCTAGATTCATTGAAGGTAGCCTTATTTATAACATACTAATGAGAACTAATAAGTTTAAAACCGGTTTGTGGCTAATGAATGAACTGACTAATAATTTTAGCTATTTACTAGATATTGTGATTACTGGTACTTTGTACCAGTTGACATTAAGATACAATACAGTCATAGGTTATATCTCATTCACATTGAGATAATATTAGTGCTGGCAACTGAAATCGGTTTTTTGGATAGTCGGTTAACCGGTTTCGGATAATTCGGATTTTTATGAAATCCGAAAACCGGTTATTCGGTTATTCGATTCTTCAATTATCCGAAAACCGGTTATTCGGTTATTCGAATCTTCAAATATCCGATTATTCAAATAACCGATTATTCGATGATCTACTTCCTTTTTTTTTAGACATCGATGTGTCCGATTGCAATGACCGTTTTTTTTTTGGAGATCGATTTCTTCGTAAACAAATTTTAGACAATTTATCCGGGTCTGTCTTTGTAAAGCACCGATTTTCAGATATCCGGTTTTGGCGATTCAAGTAACGGGTTATTCGAATAACCGGTTTTAGCGACTATTCGACTAACCGGTTTTATCTGAAATCGGTTTTTACGGAACCCGGTTAACCGGTTTCACTTTTTTGCGGTTTTTGCCAGCACTAGATAATATCTTCAGGCATTGAACATTTTGAATTAAAATTAGTTACAGTTTTGGAGCATTATGCGTTATTTTTTTCACACGCCAATGATAATGAAAAAGTATTGGTTCTAACTGCATTTCAAGCAAATACATTGATATCTCCAAACCTTTTGGTTGGAAATTATATATAAATTGAGAGCATGTAATATTCGGTCTTAAACCTCGAATGAGGTATTTTCTATCATACTAATAAAATTACAATTGAAGAAATATTTCAACAGGGTGTTTATTAAGTATTTGTACAAACTTTAAAGGGTGAATCTTTGACTAATTTTAAAATAAAAAAATTATATAAACATGGGTCCGCAACGGCTTGGTTTTTGAGACATGGAGCGTCAAACATTTTTGTTTGGTATTTTGATTATATTTTTGTTCAGGAACATGGTAAATTCGGGAAACTGGGAGTATTGATGAGGAGAAACTCGAGCATAACTCAGGTAGAATAATATTACAGCATTCCATAATTCATTTTAAAAGTTCCAAAATAGCTCATTATTTATATTTCAAAGATAAACCCGGTATTTACGAATTAGACAACTGAAGCAAAACAAAATACATGTCTTTATCGACTGTCTACTGCTTTGCATACAACTTCAAAAATAATAAAAGCTTACACATTCTTTTATCACAAGAAATATTTGCGTTATTCTTTGGGCGCCACACGAATCCTCTTCAAAATTTTTCTTGAACAACTAGCATTCGTCATATTCGAAGGAATGCAATAACTTCTACAGGTTTCGTCAAGGATTCGTAACGAAAGCATATTTCAAACGCACGAGTCACGGAACCTATAATCTCCACAATTATGTACAAATCCTTCGAGTTCGATAAAATGAGAGATATACAAACAGCTGGCAACTTTCTCCTTTATGACTTGTCGGTCGCATCACGAATTTTATGGCGTCTGGACCAGCGCCAAATATTTTGTAAACCTTAAAAGAGAATTCCACCTAAATATATTACTATTTTTATTTTAATTTATGTATTCAGCTGTCCCGGAAAACAAAGTCGCTAACCAGAGTATGGTTAGTTGTGTTGATATCGTGAAATATAAAGACTGGTAAATACTTTCTGAGAACTATTATTTCCTTTCCTTTTGATTTTAACTACAGACTAAATATACCTAAGTTTAAACAGAAGTTGGTGAGTAAGAACCACTGCTTCGAGATTATCTGAAGACAACTTTGAAAATGCCTTTTTAATGATTTCGACAAAGAAGTTTCCTGTTAAGAAAAAAGAAAGAAGTTTGTAACCACACTCCGTTTCACATAAAGTTGAAGGAATTTTCATTATTTTATTGATGAAAGTAATGTACTTAAAAAATGTATATCAAAATTGAATTAAAACAGGAAACATTAATTAGCTAATTTATATTACATAAATATAAAAACTTTACTCTGTTTATTATACATATAAAAAATATAAGGGCATGACTTTATATACAGATATTTTATCTCAGTAATACTCGGATATATCAAGCGGTTCTTGTATGAATATATATTATTATTTTTATATATTTACTTTAATTTTGTATATTATGTTTTTTGTTAGTGTATTTGTTTTTGTTGCGTGTATTGAATAATTTGTTTTTATGTATAATGATTTGATGTATGTTTAATGATTAAATATTCGTTTGGGCGCCTTTTGTTGTGTAGAATGTAATTTGTGTGTGTTGAAATTAATTTTTATTGGATGCAGGTTCTCAGGATAAAGTTAAGCAATAACAATGACAAATTTCATCGAATAATACTTTTCTTACCTTGGTTTTGCTTATCTCTCCTCCGGCAGCTTTATCTTGCATAAATAATATTTACAGTGTACACTTTATTACAGTGTAGATAGGAATGTTTAGTAATTACATACACTGTCCGTCAAAAACACTTATTATGAATACTAGCATGAGTTCTTATCTCAGAGAAGCGGTTCAATATTATTCAAATTTACTATCACTATAGATTTGAGTAGGAAGCAATGAATGAAAGCAAATTTTTAACGATTTTAACAAAATGACGTTTATTAATTATTCATTTTAAAATTCCGAACGTTAAGAAACACAGAAACTAGATATGTTATGAACTTTTACATGAATAAATAACTGATAAATTTTCTTAACTCTACCTAACATAATTTTGAAAATATTTGGTTAACCAATTTGTATTGTTTTAAATGTATTACGAAACAAATTAATTTAAATTAAGAACACAGAAACTTAACTAATCCTTATACTATGAAATGTTCTAAAATATGATTTTAATTTCTATTCACTGATATTGTCTATGGTTTGAAATACAGTTTTTGATTTCACAAAATGTTTTTAATTCGAATTTGTAAACACTCTAATTTAGGTTTCAGAGATTAGGCAACTGGACTTACATTTTCCATTATCTCGGCGTTGGAATGTCCAATATTCACTCTAACCTCGCTTTTTAGTCGTGGGTGAAACAGCTGTTCTCGTCTCTTGTGGATGGTTTTTTGTGAGTTGGTTGCGTCCTGATTTTCTACGATGTTATTTGGGGAGCTACAGGATAACATGCACCCCTAACCTGTGTCTGGGACCAACTAGTTTCTCTTCCAACTTGTTTACTTCGAAACGATGCTGTGTTGTTTTCCGTTAGAAGGTAAATTTTCTGATTTGTCCTTTTATTATTGGTCACTTGTATCCATGAGATATTGTTTTCTTACTGCGCACTTTCTCTCCAACATATTGCGATGTGATTTTATTTTTAATAAATTACGGCGTAATTTGTATTTTGTAACTGCGTAGTAAATTTTTTTACGTCTTAAAACTAGTTTACAAGAAATTACTATATGGAATTCTGAATGACAATTTTTATAATAAACTTCTAGCCTATGTGTTTTTCTGATACTATAATATTTGAATTTTCTTTTGTGTTAATTTATTTAACGTTTATTTAATTGTAAAATTGTTAAATTGGCTTTTCTTGTGCTTTCATGCTTCCATTTCGATCCTAAACTTTATCTTTTTGACATGCTTCTCTATTAAAATGTATTAGTTAAATTTTGAATGATAATATTTTAATTTTGATAAGATATAACTATGAAATGAGATTTTATTTTACTTTAAATGCAATTTATGTCTTCATTATAGTCTACGTTATAATTTTATGAATTGGTGTTATACATTTAAAATTTTTATCTCTACCATTACTCTGTGTCGTGTCTTGAAATACAGTGTGTTAATTTCAATATATAATTTTCATTTCCATAGTTTTTTACTTTATGTTTCATGAACTAAATAAGATAAATTTGATTCGGTAGATTAAATAGACGCAAAAAATCCAAAAAATCCGATAGATTTAAATTTTAAATCTGGAGAACATGTAATGAAGGACATCTACCTACATTATATCTGTCTAATTAAATATATTTCGTTCAGCTACTGGAACTGAAGATTTTATAATACCTATTTAATTCTGTTTATCTGACATTATTCTCATTTTATTGACACTATTGTTAATTCTTGATCTAACAGTTTATCATATCT